GCGGTGTAGCATCTTTGCGCTGGCGGCGCCCAGCCGGCCGTGCAATATCGGACCCGGCTTCCCCGCACCACCAACAAACCCCCGCTCCCATCCACCCACCTCCAGCTACTCCTCCCTCCTTCCAGAGCCAGAAAGGGAAAATGGCGCTCGATTTGTCCCAGGAAGTGACGATTCCTCTCATTTGCATATCAGTCAGTAGACCAATAGGAGACGCTTGTTCCACACCTCCCATTGGTTAATTCCATCAGCACCAACACTGTAGGAGAGAGAGTGTTAGATGTGTAGCTTTGGGGGATCTCGCTGAAGTCCTCCAGAGTTGCCCCCAATTGCTTACCTGTTACCTCAACTTTCCCTCTATTGCTTTGGCACTTTTTCAACAAAAAAAGTGAGATCAACGTGATTTTGTGTTGTGACGTCATCATTGAGGGTGTGACGATGACGTCATCCCATGTGGTTCTATCACGTGGTCATGCAGCAGTTCTCTTGTTCATGTTTATAGAATTTTGTAGAAGCCTCATTTGCATCAGTGTATTCTTGAAATCCCCCTTCATATCCAACAACCAATGAAATACATCCATGTCAAGAAGCTGTATTTTCCTTAGGAGAAAGAAACCACTGGAACCTGTTTCACAAGGTGTCCATTCTACAGTAAGTCATACTGCTTTGCAAAGATGATCAAACAAGGATCTTCTTCCCCATTCAGATTATGCAATCCTTTGAGTTTCCCTCAAAGAGCAAGAAGGCTAAAACCATCATAATTTCCTGTTACTTAAGATTATTTTGAATCTTAAATTTGGGGGTTGGACTAGAAGACCTCCAAGGTCCCTCCCAACCCTATGATTCTATGAGTCATGTTGAAAGTTTGATGGCAAGTTTTACTTTCTACCATATGATGGATGATGAAACAGAGAAGAATACCATCACAATCTTCATGGAGAATCTCAGTTGTATATAAACCTCTTGCTCAATAATTGCATATTGTATATTTTTGTCTTGGACTTTTAAGGTCTACCCAAAGAACAATCAATAATTAACTGAAAAAAAATCCAGATTGCATAATATGAAACTCCATTTTTCATTTGATCTCAAACCATTGTTTCTACCTGTTGGACGTAATATAAACCAAATTTACAAAACTGATCATTATTATTAATAGTTTTATTTAGATTTATTACAGCCACTCACTCCAAAAGATTCACCTTTCCAAAGTATGTTTTTTAAGATATTCAGAACATTAAATACTGTACACCCAGGTGCAGTACTACATGGAATATTATTATTTCCCATCCCACCTCTGATTAATGTAGTTTTTTCATTGGTGCAGGATTAGTCCATATAAATGCAGTCCGCATACTTTAAAGATAGTATTTCAAACAGATTGTAGTTGGGATTGTGAGATTGAACTCAGAAATGAAAAAGAAGATTTTTCAAGGAGCTTAGAATCAAGTTACATGATCATTGCTAGTGTAGGCTTTGTTGGCTTGGTTGATTATTTTTACTTTTGAGACCTCTTGGCTGTCTCCATTATCATTGTCCAAGATGTCAAACAGAAAATATGGGTCAAGAATAGGTGTAAAACTTTGCAGTTTATTACCTCAACAGGAGAGTCGATAAAATGGTACTGAGGGATATTCTTTCTCAAATAATCCTTCAGACTCTGTCCATACCTATCTATTCTGCACTCTTTGGTTTTTAACAACTACATAAAACACTGGTGGTTTAGAATGGATTATCATCAGAATGCTGACGGCACTATCATCTGTAAGGATGGTTTGCCTGTCTGGGTTGCTATTCCCCTAAAGGAAGATGTTAGTTTGAGAGTACTCCTAGATCCATCTGTGTCTTTAGAAGCTTAATTGTCCTCTGTGGCATGAAGCACTTTGACAAGCTTAAGATAGAGATCCAACTACAGTTATAATTGAATAGCTTCCCCTCAGTAATCCATGCCCTGGAAATTTCTTACCTACAGCAGTATGCTATACTGTACATAGGCTATCTTTGAAAGTCGTTCAGAAACTTCAATTACTTCTGAATATTTCAGCAAGAGTACCTGGACATTATTATCATATTATGTCAATATTATACCATTTTACTTATTTACTTACTTATTTATTTATTAAATTTATATGGCCACCCATCTCACAAGAAGTGACTCTAGGGGGTATACAACAAAGATATCAAACAATGAACAAGTCAGAAAATAGTCATTATTAAGAAGTTTAAAAAGCATAAAAAAGCATCCCTAGCCCCTAATTTGTTTCCAGTCTTAATTTAAGGTGCTACTTTAATTATAAAACTCTTCATAGCTTGGGACCAATAGCTAAAGGGATACCTCTTCCCTTGTACTCCTATCCAAACTTGCTCCAGCTGCCTTCACATATAAGGTACAAAAGGACCTTGCCTGAAAGAGGCCTTCTCAGTGATGGCTATCAGCTCAGAACGCCCTCCCTAGTGGAGGACATCTGATCTGCGTGGCAACTTTACTATTTTTCTGGCATCAAAGACATTTTTATTTTCTCAGTCTTTTAATTTGTCAATATATTATTATTTTAAGATTACCTCCCATACTGCAATGGGGCATTTTAGTTAATAATATTTGCTGCTGTTTTACTATTACCACCAATTATGTGTTTCAAAGTTTAGCTGTGTTTTTAGTAAAAAAAATGTGGTTTTAATATTTTGTGAACCTTTGGGAAAGACAAGTTATAAGTTTTAATATAAGTAAACATAAATATGATTCTAAAAACAAGTAGAATTCTCTTTGTACAACTGAACATTCCCTTTCTTTCTTCCCCACCCCAGTTCCCAAATATGGAGGGGTCCCAACTTTCCAGAGCAGATTTGGGAAGACAGCAGAGGGGAGGAAGATCAACTATACACGTACCATTATTAAACACAAATTATTGGCCACAATCCCATTATACTGGAATGCTTATGTTACTCATCTTACTTAGTTCTATGCATAAAACTGAATTGTCTTGATATCTGTATTACTACTAACATTTTGATTGATTGATTGATTGATAATGTGCCATCAAGTCATTGTCAACTCTTAATAACCACATAGATAGACCTGTTCCAGCATGATCTTCTCCCCAACCTAGCTCTAAGTTTACTTAATTTTTATTCACCTTCAATATTGTGCTAGGTACTGAACACAGAGGGTTCTCAATATACATTAGATAAGCAAAACAAGGGGAGAAAGAGCATACCAAGAACTGACAAATGGTTCCAATAGAAGAGAATATCTGTAGTTATAATGGTATGTGGGAATGACCTTGGGAGGCAGGGGAAAGAGCCGCAGACTAGACAACTGTCAGATAAGAGGCAGCTTAGCCTGCAGAAGCAATGGGAGTGGGGCAAATGTCTCAGAAGGGACCCTCCCTAGTTTCTTGGACTGTAAAGGTGAGGGTAGAGAGATGTACTTTGAGACTTTTAAGATTGATGTCAGCCTTGTGAGGTAGTCCAGACAAGAAGCACACCCAGATGTACTAGCTCTAATTTTATTGTAAGTTTACATTAACAGAATCTTGCAGGTCTGAAAGTACATCTCTCCCACCCCTGCCACCTTTACAGTCCAAGAAACTAGGGAAGGTCCCTTCTGAGATGTCTGCTACACCCCCATTGCTTCTGTGGGCTAAGCAGCCTCATATTTGTCCATTGTCTAATCTGCGGCTCTTGCCCGCCTCCCAAGGTCATTCCCATAAACCATTATAGGAGCTCAGGGTTGAACTGTAGAGTTCTTGGTGCTTTCTGAGCTTGGTTGTTTGTTTGCAGACGTTTCATTACCCAGCTAGGTAACATCATCAGTGCAGTTGGTAATGAAACGTCTGCAATCAAACAACCAAGTTCAGAGAGCACCAAGAACTCCACAACTGACAAATGGTTTCATTTTAATTTGTATATTATTGTATTAATGTCATAATAACAACACTTACTATCAGTTGTTCTCGATCTCTTTAAAAAATAATTTAAACTAATCAGAATGAGGAAAGTCCAACTGATATTGCGTGCAAACAGTTTAGAAAGAAGCACTCACCCTCTTGTGTTTTGTAATGGATACTTGCTTTCCCAAAACTAAACAAAAATGTCACAAATTCATCGTTGATGGTAAGATACCAGACACATCTTCTTCCTTTGATGTCTAAGCTTGGTACAAGAAACATATTTTCTGTGATACCTTATTCAATGAGGAGTATCTCAAATATTCTACAAAATTAGATTTCTAAGGTGTTGATTGAACTTTCTTTTTGATCTCTAGCACATTACCAAAGTAAGAGATCTTTTACCCACAAGAAGAAATCCAACATTATTCTTTACACTAGTGCTTATGTCTATTTTTAATATTGTATTCCAGAGTCTATGAATGTCATCTAATATGTTGATGTGTTGATTTTCTTCCAGTCACCTTAAATAAGACTTGCAAGTAAAGCTTTCCCTGTTTACAAATGATTTTTTCAGCTTGTTGCATTTTATTTTGTTCTTGAGAATACATCCTTCAACAGAGTTTAAAGTAAAATAGAGAGGAAAGGGGAGAATCTCCATGTATCATAAAGGATGTTGCCAGAATCAGAACCAGGATAAGAACCCTTGTTTCATATCTTCAGTTAATTATGAAGCCCACTATATTATCCATAGTATGACTTCAGGGCAATCCAAACAGATGACTGTCTCCTGTTTACTAACAATTAAAATGAATTTTGCAGATTAACTGAACTTTTTTTCTGGAAAGAAAAATGCCAGAAGTGATCAGAGAAGACAGAATGATATGGAATGACATTGGCTGGAACCCTCATGAAATTGTGTGAATAAGGCAAAATGCACAATGAAACCTTGTCTGAAAGCATCTTTTTTTTTTTTTTAAAGAGTTGTTTCAAAGATTTGTTTAATTTCATCAGGATAGCAACAGGGAAACATCATTGTTGAAACTGAAGTCTGAGAATAGAAAAATCATCTGAAAATTATGTAATCAGTTTAATAGCTCAGTTTTTTGCCTGTCTTCTTAATGGTGTGGAATTTTCCGGAATAGGAAAGTTCCCAAAGTAAATGGCAGTTAACACCAGTGCCTTGTAGTTCTCAAAACATAACGAAAGTATATTTTCATACCCTTATTTCAGTATTATGTGTGTATATAGAGATTAATATATCTGTATAACTTTATCTATCTGGAGGAAAGATACTGTTGAAAAAATCTTCGCAGGTCTGTAATGCAAACGAAAGCTGAAGTAAGATAATAAACATAGTTGCTGTTTCACTTAGCAACCACTTTGCTTAATGACCGAGTCGCTAGTCCCAATTGTGGTTGCTAAATGAAAACTACCTGTAAAGATAGTGTTAATGCTCATGGTTTGTGCTTCTTGTCTATACTATCCTGAAAGGCTGACAATTAGATCCTTTAGCTGTTATAACTCCAGCTAGTGCAAGGTGATGTTTTTACTATTTTCTCAGTTCTCTGTATCCTTACAGAGTCCTCTCCGTAGGGCTCCAAAGTGCATTTACTATCGGTCCAGATATTGGGTTGCAGCAATGGAAAAGAGCCTGAAAACACAACAGTTGGCTTGACTGCTTGCAGCTGAAGTAATATTCAAAAGAGGCCAGCAACAAATTTTTCCCCCAACACCCTCCCAAAGTCTGCCTCTAACTAGAAAAGTAGGAACAAAATAAGTTAAAACAGCATCTGGAAGTAGGAAATGTTTTAGAACAGCTCCCTCAGGTTTGATCTGGGCAGGAGCAGGCGGTCATCTTTGCTTTTTTCCCCTTCCTTTGATAGCAGACAGTCAGTGGAAGGGGGAGCCTCCCTTTAGTGAGTAAGGGTTAGCAACTGAGATGGCAGTCTAGTCAGCAGTCCAGTAGGAATGGCTTTAACCCACTGAAGGCAACGGCAGACTGGAAAGTGCATCTTGGCAAGGCACTTCCTAAAGGGCAAGCACATAGTTGAGTTAGAAATGCCGTTTGAAGGAAAAGGTAGTGGCCACACCCTGGCCCCCAGGTCGCTTGAGCCCAGCAAGAGCTGTGTCCTTCAGGCTGAGCAACACAGCAATTGGAGCCTGGGCCATCATGCAGACACAGCCTCCAGTGTCTGAAAGGTTAGGCAGTCCATACCATGCAATTGTAGCCACTAGAAACATAGTTGTAGCTTCTAGATCAGTGTTTTTCAGACTTGGCCACTTTAAGATGTGTGGACTTCAATTCCCAGAATTCCCCAGCCAGCATTAGTTTGGCTTTCTAATAACTACTTTCCAATATAGGCACAATCTTTTTCCATAGTTACATAAATGTTACATGACCAGGGAGATCAGCATTAAGAGGGAGAGTTCAAAGAAGGGAAGAGCCAACACACTTAATATCTCCTTTAGTTACAGTTAGGTAAGTGACAGAAATAGGAAGAGTTGAGTGATGTGATGGGTAAGTTACAGCGCTTGGAATAGTTTGGCTTTTGAAAGATGCTTGAACGGACAACTTTCAAACCAAACTATGTTTTTTTTTAATTTCCCTCAGCCTTTCCTCCATGGTCCATGCATTTGGCCAGCTAAAAATGGTTCTAAATCTGGAACGCTATTGTAAGATGGAGGATTTGAGCCGATCACATCCCACCTGCATATACTTGTTCTATGGGAGGTATATAAATACACTGATACTGCCACTTCATATGCTAGTTGAATGTGGGTCTGGCCAGCATATACATAAGTGGCAGGAGGAATAGCTACTGAAATTAATACTGCTCTATTCTCAACCCATTAAGTGTTTTCGTATGTCCCTATATAAGGTACAATTTCCCCTCAAGCATGTCATTTATCCTTCCATCCAACACTATCAAAAGCTCTCTAGTTTTCATCCTGCAGAATAGTTTTGGAATTGTCCCATCTCACTGCCTGATTATATAATAGAAATCAAGGAAAACTGTGTATCTTTGTTCTTGGAATCTGTAGCTTTCCTTGGAATCATGGACTAGCAAGAGATAAGAGGCCTAGCATCAGGATTCACATCATTTCTGAGAAAACATGTCATGGTAAATGAAGAAAACCTGTTATTTTGGTGCCTTCAAGCCATTGTTGACTCCTGGCAACTGCCTGGACTAGCCCCTGCAGTTTTCTTGGCAAAAACTTTTGAAAGTGGTTTGCCATTGCCTGCTTCCTAGGGCTGAGAGTGACTGGCCCAAGGTCATCCAGCTGGTTTTGTGCCTAAGGTGGGACTGGAACTCACGGTCTCCCAGTTTCTAGCCTGGTGCCTTACCTACACCACCAAACTGGCTCTAAGAAAACCTAGATCCTGCTAAACTGGAAGTTTCCCTTCTGGCTTTCAAACAAATCTTAACTTAGAATACCGTAGCTTCTGAATGTTCTGTAAAGCCAGTTTTCCCATATACCGCCAGAGAAACTAGTTGAGGATAACGTGCCTCATTTGGTCCTCAGTACAGCAGATGACAGACCACACAAACCTTTTTGAGTAAAGCCCCTTTCTGCACTTGCTCCATGAAGCTGCAAAGCAGCCAAATATGTCACTTCAAAACCTTCCCAAGGCCACCAGCAAAGCGAAACAGCGGCTGCTCCAGTAGCTATCTCAGCAGCAGAGGAAACTTCCATGAATCAGCTTCAAGGCTCTAAGGAGCTGGAGGTGCTTTGGGGCTTCATGGTCTACAGGGGCACTTCTATAGAAAATGCCTCATCAAATAATTTGTATAATTCTAGTAGGAACCCAGCTATTGTGGTTGGAAATCAGGATTTATGGTTTTGGAAGATATGTGAACTCGGCCACTGTTGAGTTAGAAGGAGCGATCCATGATTCTACCACTGAGGTCTGGAACAAGAGGATGGCTAAATAGGAAACTGATAGGCCAGGCCTACCCAGAGTAAACTGGCCAATGATATCTTCCCTTGCATACTTAATAGCACATTACTTCCTGATACAGATTTTTGTCAGGACTGTTCTGAAGAGAAAAACCCCATAAAAAAAACTATGCCTTTCCCATTTTTCTAAGGGTAGATAACGCAATGTCTGAGTTATAGATTGCAGTGAAGCAGAAGACTGTGTTTTGACCTCTGCAAGCATTTTGGGATGCTTGATGGTTCCTTTTAAATCTCATTTCAGAGACATGGACTGGAGTTCAGTTGCAGTGTTTAGATGGTGAACACTGCACCTCTGTTAATAAATCTAAATAGTACAAAATTCCAGTTAGTCTTCAGCAACCTCCTTTCAAAGGAAACCAACCCTGAGTAAGAAATTACCTTGAAACATCTCACTGCTCAAAAAACAAGGTACATTTGGCAATAGAATCACTACAAATTGAAAATATGCATGTTTATATTCTTATGATCAAAGAATTTCATAAGAGAAGGCATCCTACTTTAGAAACAGCATTCAATGTTTTGTAATTTTTATGGGGTGAAAAACAGAATTGTGTAAAATTATATTTTTTTTGCCACACATTGCATCAAAGGGTTTTTGTTTAAATGCAAGGTATAGAAATATACAGGTTGAAACAGAGAATATGTAGCACAGTTTATATCACTTCTTTGCAACCATTTTGAAAGAATAACTACCTTTAGAACTAGATTAATATTGTGGATGGGGCGTTTTCATCTCAGCACACTTGTTGAAACTTGTAATATGAAAGGCAGACCCATTGGTCATATTTCTTCTTCTTATAGTGATTTACAATATCAGTTTAATCAGCTCCAGTTTTCAGTGGTTTGCTCTGCTGTGTCACTTTTGTATGAATTAATATTTATATGTTCATGGCTAACAGATGTGGATTACTTTTCCTGAGGTAATATCACATTATTAAGAAATAATATGAAAATATTATTAAATTTGAATCTTGTGAAAAATGGTATTTAGGCATAGCAATTCTTCTTTTGGGTTCACTAACAGGACCACATGCAGATTATTTTGTTGCCACACTGCTATTTGTATAAGAAATCAATACTGTATATCTCAACAAGTTTAATATAGTTAAAATAGCCAAAGTATTTTCTTATAAAATATTAAATGTTTTATATTAAAGGAAAGAATATCTAATACTGCAACTATCTTAATTATTTCAGTTAATAGGAGATAAATGCTTTTCAGTTGCAGTTACAGAAAGAGAACAATTCAAACACAAAATCAAAATTTATTTGATATTTAAAAGGTGTAAGAGGCAGGGCCAACAGCAGAAATTTCAAGCAAAATTGTATAGAGCCAGCCTAAATATGTCATTAGAACAAACCCATTTGTCATTCATGTTTTTGAGAACAAACAACTGGTGGAACCCCATTACTGGATCATCATCCACCTACATTGAGAGAAGACAAGCTTAATGTTAGTGGGTCAACATATAAATAAATTCCACACAGTAATTTAAATATTATAGAAAAAACTAAGCAAATGCATGCATTTCTGAGGCTCACTGATTTCAACAGAAATACATCAATGGAATTTAACACTTCTGGTAAGATTGTACTGTATCTGATGTCATTTTTTGATAGATTTAGTTTATGTCTCTAATATACTTTGAGAAAAATACTATAAAACAGTAAAATACACTCTGGATGCCTTAATATTCTAGCTGTAATGTTAAGTCTTAGAAGCTTTGTATGTATCTTAACCAAAGATAAAACAATCACAAATCTCACCTTCAGTTGGCCAACTACCATACTAAGGATACAATTGTCAGGAGCTGGTTGATGATCCTGGGATGTTATATTATGCTGAATTTTTTGGAAAGGAAGCCTCTGTTATCAAAAAGAAGACCATTAAATCCTTAGAAGGTATCACATAACCATAAGAAACGAGAGAGTCCACTAGGACTCTTCTGGCTTCCCCAATAAGGAACATTTTACAGGTAATTATTTAAAGTCACTGCATGGAACATTAAAGATAACAACATTAATTAATTATGAATTTTAGACTGATAAATAATATACCATCAATTTTTCCATAATTGAAGCTTTTCCTTGGAACTGTTGACCTTCCCATGACAAACAGGAAGCATCTGTCTGCAAAAAAGGGACATTTCAGTAACTTGCACATTGAAATTATCAAAAGAAAGCAAAATACACAAATGAATAATCTCAGGTCTAGCGCTGGCAAGAAATCCTCAATGAATTATCCACCCACCCTACCAGGTCTGGTGCAATATTTTCTATATATTGGACCTCAGAGTGATAGATAAAAATGATCTTATCAGAGCTTGTCAGAGAAGGAAGGAAAAGAGGGAGCCAGAGAGAGAGGAAGGAGGTACCAAAAATGAAAACAGAAACTGTTAAGAGAGAAAAATATGTAGTACTATCCATTTTTGCCACTGACACCATCCACTCATTGTTTTTCCCCCATTCATCAGTCGACAGACATTTCTTAAAAGGTTAGCCCATATCTCCCTCTCCAGAAAACAAAAAGATTGTCCACCCCGGTTTGCAGCTTAATCTCCATCTGTGCACACCCACACTGTTAAAGGGAGCAAAGACAATGTGACAGCGTAAGGGATACTGATGTAATGGACTTGGACAGAAAGCCATACAAGGATACAGATAAAGAGGAGCTGGATTTCAATTCAAACCAGCCCAATCTCCCAGAGCACCCAGTAAGAGCCCACCAGCTATGACAACCCAAAAACTTAAGTTGTAAATACACAACAAGCTTCCAATCTTCTGCTCTGGCCAGCATGTAAGAAAAGAGCTTGAAGTAAAGCTGCTGGTTATTTTCCACCAGTCCTGCTTGAAATTGGGTGGGAATTAGACCTTTGAACTACAACTTTTGCTGCTTTTGTAGACACAAAAGAGCTCTCAAGCCAATAACCCATTCATTGCATCAACAGGATAATCATTGTTTGAGCAAAGATATGTTGATACATACATAAAGGGCACCTAATTGTTCCCTACTGGTATCAAACTGTTGATAATACAGCTGTATAAAACTTGTCCCAATCTGCTCCCAAATAGGTCTTTCTGCCATTTTACACACCTGCAAAGAGAAAAAAAAAGGACATTCTTCATTACTCAAATGGAAATAGCAGTCAAAAACCTAGCAAGGTAATCACAAGCTCACCTATATAGAACCAAGTCTGGCAGTATAAATGTACTAAAACATCTTTCAATCATACTGAAATTAAATGAGAGAAAACATAGGTAGTCCTCATTTAGCAACCACAATTGGGACTGGCAACTTGGTCATTAAGGAAGTGGTCATTAAGTGAAACCATGACAATGCTTATGATCTTACTTCAGCTTTCCTTTGCTTTACAGACCTGCGAATGGCATAAATGCAAGGACTGGTCATAAAGTTACTTTTTCATCACTACTGTAACTGTGAACGGTCACTAAACGAGACAGTTGCTAAACAAGGACTACATATATAGAACTCTACAAAATTTGAATCACACGTACCATATATATACTCAAATTTAGAAGTGACGTATATGTCTA